AAATGTTGCTTTTTGTAGTTTAAACATATTTATTCATGAAATTTGCATATATCAAAATGTAGGATTTTGAAACAAGCTGCACACAGTAATATCAATCTGAATTTTAGATAATTAACTTTCAACTTTATTCAAATGTTTTGATTACAGCAGATTCCATTGAGTGTGTAGCCAAAGGTAATATCTTTGGTTAGCTTGCTTGTTAGCTGAACCGTGAAGTCATTATTAGGTCAAGTATACTACCCTCCTTTCGAAGTAGCATAGTCCAACAGACAGATCGATTGGTTTTCTGTCGGACTAATCTATTCTTAAAGTAGGGTAGTTTACCTACACACTCAATGGAATCTGCTGTAAGAAGGTGCCGATCTCTTCCATTGGTCCAAATTGACTCCATGATGAATTCTTGACTAAGGAAATGAAATTACATTAAACAACAATTGATTTCAATATTGTCAACCTTTCTACATGTTCTAGTTGTTCTATTGCTCATTCTTTGTATGAAGACTATCAAAAGATACCCCCAAAAAATAGAAACAATGGCAGTCTTTTCCCTCAGAGCTCTTAAACTCTTTGATTGGCTTATATCTCTGAAACGAAAGCATTTAGAACAAATCAAACATGGGAGGGGGGAGGGGAATAAAATGTTCATCAGGTCAAGATCTAGATCTATCTGCTCTGAGATTTTCAGACACATCACATAGCTGTTGTTGGGTTGCTGCCCCTGCACTGGTAATTTTAAGGAAAATTTGCAGTTTTTGGTTATTATCTATAATATTATAATAGATAGAGATAAACTGTAAACAGCAATAATGTTCAGCAAAGTAAGTTCTACAAATAAGTCAGCTTGATCAAAATTGTCAATTGACCCCTTCAGGAGTTATTGCCCTTTAAAGATAATTTTTCACAATTTTTCGTAAATTTTTTTAATCTTTTACAAAAATCTTCTCCGCTTAATCTACTGGGCCAAATAGAATTAAACTAAGCCACAATTTTCAATAGGGTATCTTGATTGAAAAATGTATCCGATGACCCTGTTATCCAACCAACATGGCCGCCATGGCTAAAAATAGAACATAGGGGTTTACTATAGAAGTCTATGGGAAAATTGTAAAAAAACAATTTCAAATGGTCACAACTTGAAAACTAATTTCAATAATAATAAGGTGTCTTCAGTAACTATTGTAAGACCACAATGGGATGACCTGCTTTAAATTTAACTACTGGGCCGAATTAAACCAAACTTGGCCTCAATCATTTTTATCATATACTATTTATTATGATTTTAACCTTATTTTACATGATTTCCAAAACCACAGTAGATACAGGTGAGTGACACAGGCTCTTCAGAGCCTCTAGTATTACAGAGACTTAAATTTAAATAAAGTATAAAATGCAATAACTTTATCTTTATTTCACATTCTCATTTGCTTTCATACAACATCATTTGACGAGTGAACCTATAGGATTCCATTCACATGTGAAATTATCAGTTTTATTTGATGATTAGGATACTTCATTGCAACATTTGTAATAATCAACATTACAACTAATTTAGAATATTTTGTGTAAAATTTGCTTCAATTAAATTATGATTCTTTAAGCATAATTATTAACCAGATAAAGTAAATAATATACAAGATAATGGAGGGTGTGTCCGAGCAAGAACATCTCTATTTGGTCTGGTTGTCTCTTTGACACGTTCCCTGTTTCCATTCTCAATTCTAAAAATAATTAAAGGAATTCTATGAATAAAGATGATTATCCATTTAAGAGGGCTTGATTAACCGACGCTTTTACAGTGATTTCTTCAGGTTATGGTCGATGCATTGCCGTAAGATTCAGCTAAAGAAAGACAGCACATCCAAAACTGTATACAATTATCAACCATGTGACCATCCTGGACAGAGATGTGATGAAAATTGTCCCTGTATCCATGCACAGAATTTTTGTGAGAAGTTTTGCCAGTGTAGCGGTGATTGTAAGTATAGAAGTGTTTTTTATACTCAACATACCTGCCAACTTTTTTAAGTCACAATGGGGATTTTAAGCTCAAGAGGACCTAACAGTCAGGGGCATTACTTAAACAAGTTATTTTTTAGTTGCTTATATAGACAATTTTTGTTTTTAAAAATTATTAAATACTCAATAGAGTTATTTTAGATTTCATTAAAAGCATGGACTAAGAGACCATTCTTTGACCCAAGAGCGTCGATATGAAAGATAAGTGCATCAGGAAGGTAATTAGTGTTTCAGAAGGATCAGTTTTTATATTTCATGGGAAAAATAACCAGATGACTGTGAAAATTTGTTAAAGCCTGTAAAATCTATATGAATGGACACCTATAAAAATGATATTTAGAAAAGTTACTTATATAAGTCCTATTTAAAACAGCCTCGTTTTCAACAATACTTGTATGGGTAATTTTAAAAGTTACTTGTTTAAGTAATGCCCCTGACTGCCTAATGGATCCCCTTATATTGTCAAATGTATTTTTAATCTACTACTATATTGTTTGAATGAGTATATAAGTTCTTAAATACCCTTTTAAACTGATTTGAATGCCTGTTTTGAGGTGTTCAGTTTATATGATAACGAATTTCAAAATTCATGTCAACACCTCATGGAGGAATTCTAAGTCTCCCATAAATCGTGAAAGTTGACAAATCTGACTCAGATCTTTGTGAGTAGTTTTACCAGTGCAGCCATGACTGTAGATATAGAATTGTATGAATGCTCAGACGCCTCTGGCATACTAAATGTTAAGCCTGGTTTCTATGATGATTTTACTCAGTATTAATCATGGGATACCAGTTCAATGAAAATACATTTATTCCTCCATCCTAGATAATTGGTATCCATGTAAATGAATGAATCTACAGTACTCTATAAGGATGTTATAAATGATTAGGAGAAGATACTGATTAGGAAAGTGGCTGATTTCTGTTCTTATAGAATAAGCTTTAATGAAAATCACATCTTTTCGAACTATTTTCATTATACCATATATATATTGTATATATATATAAAGATGTGAACAACATGAACTTGATTGACTGATAGATAATCGACTACAAAATAAATATGAGAACTATACACAAAAATAAACATGCAGAGATCTTTCAATTATCTTTTATATTATGTACATTGCGGCATCCAAAAAATTAAAGGTTTCAATATTTTTTGCTATGGTATTATGGTATAACAGAGCATTTTTAAAGCATATCAGTGTAAATATGATTTTTTAAAATTTTATTTTTACATTATCTGCAAGATTTTCCAGTTATGACAGCAATAAATAAATCGTCACTACTTAACATGTCACTGATTGCTAAATGTTGTCAACAGAAACGACTGATTTTATATACGTAATTTCACCGAATTTACTTATCAATTTCGTGTAAATAAACTCATCATAGATACCAGTAAACCTGATAATTAAAGTGTAATGTATGCAATGTTTAAACAGCTAAAAATCTAGGAATATGCATTGTCATTTTCGCGTTTCTTTAGGTGTTGCGAACAAAACGAAAATTAAATATTAACGAAAATAACCCGATATGCCATATGTTAAACATTATGTTTCAATTTTTTAGGTGAGAATAGATTCCCAGGATGTCGCTGTAAGGCACAATGTAACACAAAACAATGTCCATGTTTTCTGGCTGTAAGAGAATGTGACCCTGACCTTTGTTCAATGTGTGGAGCAGGTTTGTATATTAATCAGTGATTCCCTTGGTCATCATCTTTTAAACATTTATGCAAAAAATTAAGATTTGGGTTATCAGATCATTCTTACAGTTTTAAACTCAATCAATAACATCCTCAATCAAGAAGACAAGATATGAAATGATATAATGTAATTGCATTTTTTGCAATAATAACAACATCATAAATATAAGTGAATTTGCAGAATATAAATTGGTCTGATATAAATCTTTTATGCTGAAAGTGATGACACAGGATAGGGAATATGACTTGGATCTATGATATTAATGTGACCACGTGGAATAACCAGGCTTTTAATGAATGGAATGTGGAACATTAAAATATTTGATTAGATATAACAAAGAAGTGATTACAGATTATCGATGACAGAAAAATATATAATTAAACAAATAAATGCAAAAGAAAATATTATTTTGTAGCACTTAATTAAAAATTAATATATATTAGGACATGTCAAATAAATTTTCTGGTTCTCAGACAATGACTTCTGTAGCATTGATAAAGTAGGCAGGATATTTATTTTTTGTATTTATTATTTTGTGGTCCAGTATTTTTAACCAGGCTTTCTGAAGGTAAGAACTAAAGTTTTCAGAATTCGTTAGAGTTATTGCTCTTTGGTTAGTTTTAAAGCAGTTAAATTTGAACAACATGGATATTTTAAACATCCTACTTATTTTTGTTTTGTCTTTCATCTTACTGCCTAATATTTTTTTTAGATCTTGGACAGGTTGTGATACTCAAAAATAATTAATTTAGTAATGACTCCACATAACAATACAAAAGTCGTGACCATCCATCTCATTATGAATGAAATGTACACGACTTAATTCATACAACCATACATCTATCGCAATAATTTGTTTGCTTAGAATAACTTTTTTAGCGGTGGGGGCATTAAGTTTTACCCTTGTCCGTCTGTATGTACGTCCCAAAATTGGTTTCCGTTCTCTAACGAGTTTGCCTCAACCAAATGTTATGAAACTTATACACAATGCTTATAACCACAAAACACAGATCAAGTTTGAATATTGGTGGCGTCACTTTAACCATTCTAGAGTTATGCCCCTTTATAAATGGACGTACGTACGTCCGTACGTCCCAAAATTGGTTTCCGTTCTCTAACTTAAGTTAGCCTCAACCAAATGTTATGAAACTTATACACAATGCTTATTACCACAAAACACAGATCAAGTTTGAATTTTGGTGGCGTCACTTTAACCCTTCTACAGTTATGCTCCTTTATAAATGGAAAATTATTTATAATATATCAAGTAATTTTTAAAGGCAGTGCTTTAATGCCTTTCTAGTTGCCGGGTTAATCCTTCCTTCCGCGATATCCAACTTATCTACGTGGGGGGTCATTAGGCTCCAAGTAGATCCGGAAATGTTGAATTCTCTCCTCTTCTTATTGCGATATAAAATGTTTTTTGTTTCATTTCATTTACATTGGGAAATAGAGAAACGATCATTGTGTTTTGTTAGTTTTAAAAACTTTTGATATATTAGTATTTTGCATTATAAGCAGTCAACCGATTGACAAACTAGAATTATTTGAATTCCGTGTGGAAAGAGCTCGGGTTTATTTCGAGTGTTATCTGCAATCTAGATGTTTATAAATCATTTCAGTCGTTGATATAATAATTAAATGTCGACTGAACATGAATTATATTATACAATTTAAAGCGCATTTCTGTTTATGCACGTGAACCCGTCTAACGTTATTGTAATTTCGCAGTTATATAAAGTAGCAAATTATCGTTCCTGAATAGGTGGCGCCGTGGTAGCGGATCCTGTTCCTCTACTTCCGGTTTCTGCACTGTGCAACTATTTCAGTTATATTTTTAATTAACGATGCCAAGTACTTGTTGTTGTGTACCTGGATGTCATTTAAGAGGAGGACATGCATTTCCAAATGACTTAAAAAGAAGGAAAAGTTGGATCAACGCCATGGCCCATACGCAGATTGGACGAGAACACGATGATATCGTGGAGTCCATCTCAATCAGCTGTTGTTTGCAAGGCACGTTTTACTGAAAAAGACTACGTGCAGGAAACTATTCATGGTAAAACTCTATTTTCTTTGTGAAATATATAGTTATATATGTAATCGCCATGCGAATAAACCAAAGTCTGTTTACAACCGTAATTATCGTTTTAGAATAAAAGGGGGTGGGTAATTCAAGACGTCATAATTTTTTGGATTACGATTCAATGTGATCTGTTTTAGATTTTTTGGTGATTGCTACAATTATAATGATTTCTTACAAGAGGTATATCATACTGAGAATTATTTTAGCAGTAATTATGCTAATGTAGTAATGACAGGAATGCATAAGCTATGCCTCATAGACTTTCTTGAAAAATATCAATGACAATGTTAACAGGAACAAAACAATGACATGCTCTCATCTATATTATAGTTATTTAGGTACAAACAATGTACGTTTGTTGCATAAGTCTCTCATTGTTTGTCCTTTGGATTTACATAACATACATTGAATCAGGCAAACATAGTTTTATCCAGATTGTAATCATGGTAATGAATAAATCTAGTTAATATTTCGCCAGGTAGTACAAAGTATACATTGCTAATGGAAGTTCATTTAATTATCAAAAAACTAATGTTTTATAACCTTTTTCAGTGCGCAAACCCACCATACAGAGACTTAAGTCTACTGCCATTCCCAGCCTATTTTCCTGGACCAAGCAAGAGACTGAATCGTCCGCAAAAAGAAAAATCAGGGCAGTTTCCTGTGAAAACAAAAGAACTAAACTTGATGAATATTGTAGTAGAAATCTAGAGGAAAGTTTTGATTGTAAAGTTGGTTTTCCTGAAGAAGTCATTCATACTGCAGAAAGGATTTATGACTGTCCACCACCAACTGCCGAGCTAATGTTGAGCTTCACAGATGGAATTACGCAAACACCATCAATGCCTATGTTTTCAGCAGAGAATTTTGAAATGAAGACACGTGACACAGCCATGCATTTTTATACCGGTGTAGAGTTGTATACTAAATTTTTATTTGTTTTGACCACACTTGGTCCAGCAGCACATTGTTTGAGATACATATATATTTCAAATTGATAGTGTGTCAGTTGAAAATCAGTTTTTTTATGACTTTGATGAAATTGAGGCATCATACAACCAACTTTGAACTGTTTAGATTCTAGATTGAATCTAGTGTTAAGAATATTGTGTATACATGGATTGTTTTTATGTCTAACCATCTAGTGGTTTAGTCAGGTATTTTTCACCATCCAACTTCGAATTAAAGTTTCCTACGAATTGGATTATAATTGACAGCACAGAATATCCCGTGATAAAACCTAAAGCTCCTAGAGCTCAGGCAACCTTTTCATCAAATAAAAACAGAAACACTGAAAATTCTTGAATGTTCGACACCTGGTGGTTTAGTCAACTATGTCTCTATGTCACATAGAGCGAATTATTGGACTTGGCAAAACATACAAAATTCTAATAAATCCTATGAATGGAACTGAAACAAAACTTTCATCTGAAATAACATTTAGTTGTTTTAGGGATCATAGATTTATTCTTACGAGGAAGCTCCGAGCATGCTCGGAGGATGCTCGGAGCTTTTTCAGTAGGCTCTTCTCTGCAGTTTATGTGAAAATAATTATCATGATCCATTAAGATGTCAATCAAATCTACACCACCTCTATAATAAGGAAAGTTGAGCATTATAGAGGAAGCTCAATTAACACCTGTGTAAACAACTGATCTATTCAAATACATTTTGCATGACATTTTACAAATTATAGAAAAGATAAGAAATTCTTCAACAGTACTGTGTAATGCTTGGAAAGAAATCTCAAGTCTCCACAAAAAAGTGAAAGTCATTTAACAAAAAATATACAATTATTATATTTATTAATCATTTCTTTTTTTATAATAAAAAAATTTCTCAAATCTTATAATTAGATGATATGATTTAAATATAGTTTATATTATATGATATGCTACATAAAAGTTATCAAGACACAAACAACAGTCAGGGGGCGATACTAAACGAGTTATTTTTTTTAGTTACTTATATTAATAGGTATTTTTTGTTTTTTTAAATTATTTGATATAATCTCAATTGTTATTTTAAATGTCAAAAGTGGACTAAATGTAGTTTTTAAGAATTTTTATATCATTTCATTAAGTAAAATTAAGTATTTATCCAACTTGAGATGAGTATAGAGAGATTACTTTAAAAATAATGACAAAAATATTACTTTTATAAATTATTTTATACATCTTCGAAAAACTAAGCATACTTACAATTATTTAAGGAACATATGTAATTGTTTTTGATAAAGATTTCAAATTATAAATAACTTCAAGTCTTAATTAAATCACAAAGTTCCATCCATTTATATTTGTTCATCTCTAAGATTTTAAAGGAAAATGTTATTTTAATAGCCCCAAGAGACCAATCTATGACCAAGAAGTGTGGCATCAGAAAGGCAATTAGTGTTTCAGGAGGATTTAAATAGTTTTATACTGCATGGGGAAAATAACCAGATGTGAAAATTTGGTAAAGCTTGTAAAACCTGTATGAATGGAGACCTATAGAAATAATATTAACAGAAGTTACTTATTCATGATATATAAGTAATATTTGAAACAACCTTGTTTTCAATGTAACTTGTATAAGTAATTTTGAAAATTACTTGTTTAAGTAATGCCCCTAACTATTAAAACAATGATATTTTTTTTTTTTTATAAAATAGCAAAGTTAGTTTTTTATAAAAAAAATTATGGCTACTCTAAGAAAAGTTGAGGAGGTAATACCACCATTGTTTTCCCTCTAGTACGTCTCACTTTAATTGTCATTTTTTTTATAATTGTGCAGATTTGGTTTTATTAATTTTTTAATAAAGAAATACTTAGCATAATTATATAAGTGAAGTTTTATCCTGACCTGTACTTGAATGAAAATGTAATATAAAATTGTTTCCCCCTATCACTCTTTGTTTAATTTGTATTTTTCCAAAAATATGTGCAGAATTTATTTATGTTTTAAATAAAGAAATACTTGACATGAGTAAAGTTTTTTCTTGTCCTGTACTATAGTAATAAAACAACATAATTTTTCAGTGCATATAAGAAAGAAGACATCACCAGAATTAACCAACCAAATTCTATCCCCCTTTTTTTTTCTCTGTTTACAAGCTTTAGTAGTCATGTCCCCTAAAATTGCAAAAATATTTTATATAAAAAACTAACTTTGCTATTTTATAAAAAAAATACCATTGTTTAGTTATGGGCATTACTTAAACTAGTAATTTTCAAAATTACCTATACAAGTTATATTGAAAACAAGGTTGTTTCAAATATTACTTATATATCATGAATAAGTAACTTCTGTTAATATTATTTCTATAGGTGTCCATTCATACAGGTTTTACAAGCTTTAACAAATTTTCACGTCTAGTTATTTTCCCCATGCAGTATAAAACTATTTAAATCCTCCTGAAACACTAATTGCCTTTCTGATGCCACACTTCTTGGTCATAGATTGGTCTCTTGGGGCTATTAAAATAACATTTTCCTTCAAAATCTTAGAGATGAACAAATATAAATGGATGGAACTTTGTGATTTAATTAAGACTTGAAGTTATTTATAATTTGAAATCTTTATCAAAAACAATTACATATGTTCCTTAAATAATTGTAAGTATGCTTAGTTTTTCGAAGATGTATAAAATAATTTATAAAAGTAATATTTTTGTCATTATTTTTAAAGTAATCTCTCTATACTCATCTCAAGTTGGATAAATACTTAATTTTACTTAATGAAATGATATAAAAATTCTTAAAAACTACATTTAGTCCACTTTTGACATTTAAAATAACAATTGAGATTATATCAAATAATTTAAAAAAACAAAAAATACCTATTAATATAAGTAACTAAAAAAAATAACTCGTTTAGTATCGCCCACTGACTGTGGTTTGTGTCTTGATAACTTTTATGTAGCATATTATATAATATAAACTTTATTTAAATCATATCATCTAATTATAAAATTTGAGATTTTTTTTTATTATAAAAAAAGAAATGATTATTTTAAAAATATAATAATTGTATATTTTTTGTTAAATGACTTTCACTTTTTGTGGAGACATGAGATTTCTTTCCAAGCATTACACAGTACTGTTGAATAATTTCTAATCTATTCTATAGTTTTGTAAAATTTCAGGCAAAATGTATTTGAATAGATTAGATGTTTACACAGGTGTTAATTGAGCTTCCTCTTTAATGCTCTACTTTCCTTATTATAGAAGTGGTGTAGATTTGATTGACATCTTAATGGATCATGATAATTATTTTCACATAAACTGCAGAGAAGAGCCTACTGAAAAAGCTCTGAGCATCCTCCGAGCATGCTCGGAGCTTCCTCGTTAGAATAAATCTATGATCCCTTATGTTGTGTAATTTTAGAACTTGTATTGTGCCAAAGGATGCATAAATAAAAGTGACGCAATGAATTTTGTTCTGATATATATATATTTACAATTACATGCACATGTAAATTGTAATGCATATAAAAATAAGGAGATGTGGTATGATATTCAGTGAGTTTATCAAACTAAAGTGCATAAGAAATGGGTTAAAGCAGTTACAGGTGTTACTGTCACCGTACAATCTCCAACAATGAGAAAAACTCGTACCCTGTAAAAAATTTCAGAGATCTTACAACTAAGTTTTGTTGTCTCACCTTGACTTTGGTGAATTTTTTATATCTGTTGATGTAAATATAAAAAAGAAGATGTGGTATGATTGCCAATGAGACAACTCTCCACACATGCACAAGAGACCAAATGACACAGAAATTAACAGCTATAGGTCACAGTACGGCCTTCAACAATGAGCAAAGCCCATACCGCACAGTCAGCTATAAAAGGCCCCGAAATGACAATGTAAAACAATTCAAACAAGAAAACTAACGGCCTATTTTATGTAAAAAAATGAACAAATATAACAAATATGCAACACATAAACAAACGACAACCACTGAATTACACTTTTACAGGCTCCTGACTTGGGACAGGCACATACATGTACATACAGAATGTGGCGGGCTTAAACATGTTAGCGGGATCCCAACCCTCCCCCTAACCTGGTACAGTGGTGTAACAGTACAACATAAGCACGAAATTATAAAAATCAGTTGAAAGAGGCTAAACTCATCAGATGGATAAATACAAATACAAGTGGACGTGGTCGGGTAGTTGTACATCCAAACAACAAAAAGACACTAAGTACAGATCTGAGAGTACTCGCATTTACTGACAGCTAGTTCAAAGCCACTAACAACTGATAAAAAAATCTTGCATCTAAGACTAAATTATCAATCCGTAAGATCCCTTTAGAATTTTATAAATTTTAGATTTTACATTTCTGAGTTATGGGGTTTTATTCATTAAAAAAGGGGGGATTTTCCAGTTTTTGGACAACAACTCAAAAATGCTTTAAGCAGTTCACATGAAACTTTGGTGAATTATTTATAGCTATTGATGTAATCTCCCTATTGATTTTCATAAATTTCAAATATGACATTGAGAAGAAATTGAACTTTATTTGTTCATAGTCTGGCAACAGATTTATTAAGTATTGCGCAACAGCACAGTGTATTGCACAACAGCAAGAAATCTTTAATTGAATATAAATTCAATTCATATAACCGATTTCAAGTTCATTGACTACTTTTATTCAGAAACTATAATATGTCAAATATTTAATTACAATCCAGATTCAGACCTGTATCAAGCTTGAATATTGTGTCCATTTTTGCCCCAGCTGTTCAGGGTAGTACCTCTGCGGGTGTATCCAGCTGCGCTCAGCGAATCAGTTTATTTCTTAATTAAGAACTCCTTTTTTCATGCATAAATTACTTTATGCTTGGAAATATAATTTTGCTAGGAGTTGAAAGAGTTGACATGTTGCAATGTACATTTACTCTACATAGTTCTATGGTACCAAATCAAAAGTTTATATAAAAGAAAGAAGTCAAAGGTTTCCCATCATAGTTTAGTTACATACATTTTTTTTGTACCTGAGGTCGTTGAATATAGATCATTATATAAATAAGGAGATGTGTTATGATTGCCAATGAAAAAACTAAGGATTTTCTTATTCAAGGAATAGATTACCTTAGCCGTATTTGGCACAACTTTTTGGAATTTTGGGTCCTCAATGCTCTTCAA